ATATAGTAAGTAGAACCACTCTCAAGATTTTATCCTGAGGATACAATTCAACAGAAAGAAATGACAATGTGGACTTTCATTTGTGATGAGAAAATGGTGGACTAAATATTCTGAAAAACCATTCCACCACAAAAACCAAAGAAACCCTAAATAAAATACAGAAAAACATCTTTTAAAAGGTATTGTTGAGGGGTGCCTAGGTAGTGCAGTCGGACTAAGCATCTGACTCTTGGTTTAGGCTTGGGTCATGATTTCAGGGTCCTGAGATAAAGACCTGTTTGGGCTCCGCACTCAGCATGGAGTCTGCTTGTCCCTCTCCCCCTCCCCCTCCCCCGACTCTTACTCTCTCCAAAATAAACAAATCTTAAAAAAAAAAAAAAAAGCTATCATTAGGCTTATAAGAAGGAAAATCCTTGGGAGTGAAAGATAAAGAGGGAGCTCCAAACTATGGTCTGTGACTGAGGACTCCAAGCACATTCGTCACTCTCAGGAACCTAAAGTCTTGGGTTTTTATGACCTCATGCATGTGGGAGACAAGATCTTGGACTCAGGGAAGGTAGGGAATTAGAACTGAGATGTCTGCATAAAGCCAGACTCTCACAGGACAGTAAAGTGAGACAAAATGGAGACATAGAGGAGAGAGAATGTGGGAGAATTAATCTTCCGTATAACTGAAGAGCACAAAACGCAAAGAGAAAATCTCAAAAGTTGTCAGAGAGAAAAGAGAGACCATCTAAAAGGAACTAGCCTGGCAGCAACAATGGAACAATAACTTTAGATTGCTTAGAGAAAACCACCGTCTAGGTAGAATTTGATACCTACTTAAATCATGTATTTAAGAACAGGGTGAAATGAGGGCATTTTCAGAAAACCAAAACCTGAAAGAGTTATCACCAAAAGATGCTCATTAAAGGAGCTTTTAAGAGCATACATTAGGATAAAGAAAAATGATCCCAGAAGGAAAGTCTGAGATTTATAAAACAACAAGAACATCTCATTTGGAGGTTAAAAATAAGATGGTGCTAAAATATTAGATAACAATAACTTTTAAGACAAGAGGATGGTGATTAGCCATCCTAAGGCCCTTGGATAGTTTGGGAGGAGTGGAGCTATTGATTTAGATTTTGAGTACACATGCTGAAATTTAAGAGTAATCACTAAGAAGAGAAATAGAGTATACAACTTCCAAACCAATAGAAGGGAAAATGTGGAATCAAAAGAACAATCTGAAAGAAAATAGGAAGTGGAGAAGATACAGAAAAAGCAGGATAGACATCACAAAATAAAATGGTAAAGAGAATTCCACATACCAACAACTAATTAAAAGCACAATAAAGTGTAAATGTTCTAAACTCACCAGTCAAAAAAAAGATATCCTCAGATTGGACTAAAATGAAACAGAACAAAACAATCCAGATATTTGTTGTATCCTAGAGAAAACCTAAAATACAAAGACGTGGTATATCAGAATAATTCATGTTAGCTGCTGGTACAAACAACCCCTAAGCTGGTTGGGGCTTAACACAAGGTTTAATTTTTGCTCACATCATAGTTCATCAGGTAAGGTTCCTGCTTTGGCTGTCACTCCTTCAATCAGTGACATAGGAATCTGGTATCTGTCGATCCTAGTTCTACCGTCTTGGAGTTCTTTGCCTTGAGCCATGTGAGCAGGGGAGAGAGCACATTTAAGACCATGCATGGCATTTTAGGGGCCAAGCCTAGAAGTGGCATACATCGTTTCTATCTATATTCCTCAGTGGTCCCAACGTAACTGCAGAGGCTGGGCTTCTTCCTGTGTTTCCAGGAAGAAGAATTGGAATTAGTGAGCATCTAGCCAGTCTCTGACACATAAAAAGATTGAAAATATGAAAAGATGGAAATGGATATGCTAGGCAGACACTAACCAGAAGAAAGCTAGAGTAGCTCTGTTCATATTGGACAAAATAGTTTTCAAGGCAAAATGGGTTATTAGGAATAAAGATAGTGGGGCACTTGGGTGGCGCAGTTGGTTAAGCGTCTGCCTTCAGCTCAGGTCATGATCTCAGGGTCCTGGGATCGGGCCCTGCGTCGGGCTCCCTGCTCAGCAAGCAAATAAATAAATATTTTTTTAAAAGGAATAAAGATAGTAACTACATAAAGATAACATTCAACTTGTCAAGAAGAGACACTAATTCTGAAATTATATATGTACCTGATGATATCTTCAAATAACATAAAGCAAAAATTGACAGAAGTAGGAGGAGAAACTGATATAACATACACCTTTCTCAGCAATTGTTGTCACATAAACCAAAAATTAGTAGTATATAGAAAATATAAATAATCTGATTAATAAGCTTGATCAAAAGGGCATGAATAGAATCTTGCATCCAACTAGAGAAAAATGTACATTTTTTCTTCAGGGTGCAAGAAACATTTATGAAAACTGACCATATACTTAGCTATAAAGTCAACAAGTTTCCCAGAATCAGTATCATACAAACCATGTATTCTGATTACAGTGCAATTAGGTCAAAAATAAGTAACAGAAAGATAACTGAAAGAAAAAAGACTGTATGAAGATATTCACTCTAGGGTTAATTAGCAACAACAATGAAAAATTAGAATCACGGAATTATCCAACGATATGGGTATACTTAAGTAAATTATGCCACATCAACCCAATGGGCTATCATGTGGCCATTAAAAATTATTTTTTTAAATGGACTATGTTTAAGGTATAATATATTAAGTAAAAATTTTAAATCTATTGTATTTATGACTACAACCAAGTAAAAATATGTATTTAGAAAGATATAAGCAAATGAAAACAGTTGTTATATTACAGTGATGAGATTATGTGTAATTCTACCTTTAAAAAGATTTTCTGTGATGTGGTTATACTGTTTAATGTGAGTTAAAATAATCAATAGAAGACCTGATCTCTGTCTGGCAGCTGATGCTACTTATGCCTTAATATCCATTATCCTTTTCTTTTATAGCAATAGAATTTTAGTTGAGTACAGAACTGCCCAAAACAAGTGTACATTTCCCAGCCTCCCTTGTAGCTAGGCCTTACAATGGGACAAAGTCAGAGCTAATGAAATATGAGAAGTGGGTGCCCTGAAACGTCAAGAGTTCGTCCTTCCGTTGTCTTTTTCTTTCATCTTGTTACCTGAAATCTTCCTTAGCACATACTATGGGTAGACTGAACCCCATATACGTTTGATTGAATGAGGGACTGCTTCCTAATTTAACGAATGAGTATGTGTGACTCATGAGGACAAATACGTGTTTTCTATTCAACCGGCGTCCAGTACAAGCTCTGAAAACAAGGGGATTATCCATCCTATTTTTGGGTATCAAATGATAATATATTAATATGGTAGAGTACATGTTTATGTTAACTATATTCTAATGGGAATCATACACATTTACTCCAATATTCCCTATCATTTAAGAGAATGTTTTTACAGAGAACGAGATCCATTTATAGGCTGCTTGCCTGAGTTAAATCAGCAATCAACCTCCATATCTTACATGTTAACCAAAATCAAAAATTGTATTTTTACAGTTCAATAAAGAATGCACTTTGTTTAATTATCATAGTCTGGTAAGGTTTGATATAATCCAACAGCCTAGATCACAAAAAAGGATCAATAATTTGTACTGTATCAGGAATAAAATAATCAATTCAAAAGGAGATTGGTAAATATTACTCAAAACAATTTTTATACTTGAAAAATATCCAAATACAACATTGAAGCAGATGAGACATTCTGCCCCAGGTCCTTACAATCCTCCATAATGATTAGGTATGCTATGTCATGCCTACTGTAGTAACAAATTCATTATTATTTTTATTATAATTCAGAAGAGGTCAATCAAAAGGTGCTCTGTAAAAACAACATGCCAGTTAAAAAAAAAAGGCACTAGAAGCTGACTCAAGAATAGCCTTTTATTCTGTGAATTCTAATATTTATGCTAAGCATGGCCTGTTTAGATGTTTTTAAAAACAAAGGAAAATCAAAATTGAGTAAAAGTTCCAGGGACTAACTTACTCATCATTTCTTGAGTAAAACTGTATACAGCTAGTTCGAGGGCATCTAGTAGAAATCATTATTCAGACTAAAATTCTGTCAGTAAAAAAATAGTAGTACTCATGGATACTAAAAGGGCTTAAAAATCGGTCACACATTTGGTTAAGAGAGCATCCTGAAGGCTTGTTTATATATTTCCTTTTCCTTTAATATGCATATTAGCAAAACAAGCAGATTGTTAAATAATTTGGCTTTCTATCAGTTAGCTACACATTAACATGACGGAGGACTATTAATATACAAGTCTTGATACCAGGCAAACAACTCCTTTTCTTGTTTTTCCAATTCCTCATCTGGCATGAGCTCATCAACTTTCACAATGTCAGATGGGGTAGAGAAGATGATTGTCGCTGCTTTGTACCTCATGTGTCCGTTTGTGGTTCCTAGGTAGAAGTATAAACAAAAGAGGAAAGGATTTTACATTTGGTTTTTACTACTTTCTGTTTTTATATCGGCTGTTTATACTTAGCCTCATCTCCAAACATTTACAGCAGATTTTAAAAAAATGACAAAGCAATATGTGAATACATGTTAGTTGCAAATATCCCACCATGTAGGAATGTACTGAGGCTGACTTTACAAATACAGTTTTTAAAAAGCTTGGAGAGAAATGACTTTTATTTTGAGAAAAGCACCATTTGAGATGTGCTGAATCAACAGTGTCAACATACAGAGACTACTGTTGTTGGCCCCCTCATATTGATGAGCCAAAACAGCCAGTATTTATCAGGTCAGCCATATTGTTGAAGAATTTTTAAAACATATGTTATCAAGAGGAACACAGCTTTATACTATCCAAGTACATACCAAAGGTGTTTCAAGCCTTGAACTTGTAGATTAGGAAATTCTACTTATACAAGTAGAATGACTTACAGTTTGAATAGTGTCCAAAACAATGAATTCAGTACAAGTTCAACTTACCATCCCCATGGAAGCAGTTTTTTCTTTAGCCATCTTATAGGCTTTTTTCATTTTTTCAACTTTCATTTGAGCTTGCTTGGATCGACGACCCAGATGTTTAATTTGATTCTGCTGTTGGTAGGGCCGATATAAAGGTTTGATAGCTGAAAAGGATGAAGGGCATCTAGAAAAGATTTGAATTACAGACAGAAAAAAATGCACCAAATAACATTTAAATGTAAAGCAAGTTGCAAATTTTATTAAAACATCTTCCAGCAACTAGATCATAGGCCTCAGTATCTGGAGCAATATTGCATGCAAGTTTTTAGGCCAGAGTTACCATTTCTGCTTAAATTATATGGCGTAGTTCTTTATTTGTGCCATATGAAGGTGTAAAAATGATGATGTGGATCACGATGATGATGAAAATTATAAAACATGGTATCAATTTAAAATCGGTTTTCCTGGAAAATACCATGTAGTAGTCATTTGAATTATATATATATATACACACACACATACACCCACACATACCATATACTAACACAAAAAGGTGTTAAATTTCATAATGGCTGAAAAAACAAGCTGTTCTTATCAGTGTTGGGATCAGATACAGGTGGTGCCGTGCCCATAGCCCCCCAGGCCTCACCACTGCAAAGCACATAGGCCCAACTTCCAACCACCAGTATCAGCCTCGCTCAGCATAACAGCTTTCTTGTGAAAACAAGGGCCCATGTGCGGGGAAAGGAATTAATACATCCCCTCCTAAACAGTCCTTAGCCAGTGCCTGATGTACATCGGTGTATAAATATCCCAGCTCCCTTGTCCCCCGCAGGATAACTTGAGTCGCACGTTCTGCAATGGCTTGGACATTCCCAGAAGGGATTAAGCTCCACTTACCCACAGAAGTAACTTGTTTGTTAACACATGCTGTTTTGGCTGCCTGCCCCTCCTTGTTTCCCTTTCATCAGTGGTTCTGGGAATCACCTCCCAAATAGACTACTCATATCCAAATATTTGATCTCCTGGGAGATCCCAAACTAACACTGCATTCAAAGAAACCTGTAAGAAAGTACTTTTCCCTCTTTAATTGATTTAGGATTTGGCTACTTCATTTGGCTCTTCAGATGACTCATTCTTAGATAATCACTAGCAAGAGTCCAAATAGCAGGGAACCTGGGGTTATATATGGTGGCAGGGAAAATTACACCATTTATTTGACCCTGGTGGTAATAGGGTTAAGTTCTATATTCAGTGCTTATATAGATGAGTTAGAGAAAATCTATTTCATGATGACAGACGACACCCTACACCAGGCCATCTGTCTGGCAAATGTATAGCCTTGATCATAAAATATATGGGCTAAATTATATTATTGGGTCAGCACCACTCATCTCTAGCCCTGGAAAAAACCCAGTGTGTTTGCCTGACAGTGGATCACCAGTGTCTTCATGTTCTAAAGGAGTATTTTTTCATTTCAAATATGACTCTGTGGAAATAGACTACCAATAGATCCTCTTCAATCTGATTATCTCTTCCTTTTTTCTTAAGAAAGAAAGCTTCATTTGTAAATAAGATGGGCTAGGTGAGACTTGTAATGGAAAGAAAAAAGGAATGTAATTGGAGCATATTCTGTCCGTATTGTTTCAGATCATAATACAGTCTATTTTGCTACAACATGAGTTTCTATAATGTGAATTGGCTCACATGCTATTGCTAAAGAAGGGAATAATGTCACTGTAATTTATATGCAATTTGTCCTCAGCAAGGGGAGCCGGAATCACAAGAGTAGAATTATAACCTTCAGCAGAAAAGGAAAAGGTCCTCAGTTGTGTGCAGCACAGGCAATGGGAGCCCTTTTGGCTGTATTTATGAAAACAAGAATTAGCACCTGCATCTAGGGCTCTCTCCAGAGGCACCCCCCACCCCCCAGTCCACCCTGACTGCCATCCCCCCCATGCTCCCTGCTTTGGGAGGGGGGGTTGGTTATTGGCAGGTTGCACTGCCTCTCATGTCCACTTAAAAGGCAACCACACTAGCCCAGGGCTCCACTTCCATCTGCATTATCTCCGTACCCACTACCTGCTCTAATTAAAGAGTGGCCAGCATTTCTGCTCTCTCATCGTACATTTTTTATATTTGCTGTGGTGGCCTCCAGCCGTCCTGAGCTGCCTGTCTGGTGGTACAAGTTATCTCCCCAGGTTCCAGTTGTCCTTTTTGTTAGTGTTCTGTTTACAGAGATGCCTACATTTTGAGCAATCTGCCCCAACCCTATTTTTCCCATATGCCTTATTATCTTTCATGAGCTATTTGGCAGAATGTGAACATTTTCAGAAATGCCCCTAGTATTGTGACCCCATTAAAATATCACTTTTACCTAACTTCAGAAACAATCTGTAGCTGATGTTGACGCATCTCTTCTGTTTGTGGTCTCTGTAATAGATACTTCATTTCTTTTTGTAGACGGTTTGAGATTATTCCAGACTCTGCATAATCAACTATGTCATATATTATCATTGTTCTGGGGATGTTTTTGAGGTTTAATTTTCGCCAGTAGTTATTTCTGCCACCAGAAGATGCAGGGGTCTCATCCAGGAGACTGGAATACTATATGGAAAAAACAAGTAAGAATGATCAGTTGTGGGTACTCCAGAATGTTTTTAGACACATTTCCCAAGGTTCAAATGTCCATTGTTACTTCATCCAAAAAGCATTCCTTGATCCCATCTCTGAACTTTATCAGCAACTTTCTTCTATGGCTTATTCCTGACTACTTGATGTTTTAGCTGTTTGTGTACTTAGCTCTCCCACGAGAAGGCACGATCCTTGTCACACAGTATCACGCTCATAGTACCACACTCACTAAATCTTTAATGATAAACATTTTATTTAATGAATAAACATTTTAATGCCAAATACATGATCTGCATACCTGGTAGTGCTTGTTCATAACATGCTTGGGTTGAGAGGACATTTGCACAAACCTTGTTATAAGAATAATGAGTTCACCTCTGGTACTAAGTGGCAAATTTCACAATTTTCATTTGGAGCATTGTAGAAATCCCACTTGTATTTATTTATTTTTTTAATTTAAAATATCAAATTAGGCATGTTAAAATGCAAATATATATAATCGATGCAACCTTATAAAATGTTCATTTAAGAGACAGGAATAGGGCCGGAGGATCTACAATGCTTATCAGCTAGGCATTTAGGGTATATCTCACACACACACATGTGCGCACGCACGTACACACACATATACAAGCAGTCTTTTTTTTTTAAGATTTTATTTATTTATTTGACAAAGAGAGAGATAGCGAGAGCAGGAACACAAGCAGGGGGAGTGGGAGAGGGAGAAGCAGGGAGCCCGATGTGGGGCTCGATCCCAGGACCCTGGGATCATGACCTGAGCTGAAGGCAGACAACAAGCAGTCTTTCTTTTGTATCATTTAGGCATGCACAAATTTTAATTACTACCATTTGATTGAATAAGCCCAGTCCTCCAACAACTCGTCTCAAATTTCAGTTTCCCCAGTATAACTTAACTGCATAAAGTACAAACTTTGCTGATAGCTCTCCAGTCCATAGATCACTACAGAAATAACAGATGTGTGTGGTGATGAGTGACAAATCATGTCCCTTCCTCCAAAGTGTCAGCAATTGGTCACTGAAGATCTGTTATTTAGTTGTATCACCTCTTTGTCTCCCAGTGATAAACCCTGTGCCATTTTACCAAAAAAAAAAAAAAAAGATAATCAAAAGAATAGGCCAAAAGAGAAACCAAAATGAAATGAAATTCAAATCAAATGTAAATGGAGTTCTAGACGAAATAGATGACGAGGGGATATTGACATTGCCATCATTCAGGAGACTGCGGGTGGGCAGCTAGAGGAACGTGCTGAAGGTGAACTTGGCAACATAAATGAGGAAAGTGATTGTGACGAAAAGGATGAAGCTGTCCCAGAGGAAGTGACATTGACCAAAAAAGACTCTTCACATTAAAGGAACTTTGAGAGATTTCACAACATTTAAAGCATAAAGGATAAAATGTTGGTAGGTAATCCGAACTTAGGAGTGTGACAATTCACCAAGGCATGGAAAAGATGCTCACTATGTACTGTAAGCTACATGAGAAGAACAAGAAGGCAAGCACTGTTTAAACTACTCCTCATACACTGCTTTTTTAAAGCTTTATTGAGATTCACATCCCATACAATTCACCCATATAAAGTATATAATTCAATGGTTTTTAGTATATTTACAGTTGATAAGTTTTTTACAAAGAAAACACTTTTCCTCCTCAATGTTTCCAATGTTTTAAATTATAGCGTAATAAATGTTTTGTTTTTCGTTTTCCTATATATTTATAACAGACAATAAGAGAGTTTTTAATGTTTCGACAAGATTTTTTTGAAAGGCATGGAACAATCATGATTTTTCACATTGATTATTAAGTTTGCTTTGCATGGTTTCAGCTTGCACGGTCATTTTTTAAAAGATTTTATTTTTAAAAAATCTCTACACCCAATGTGGGGCTTGAACCCACAACCCTGAGATCAAGAGTTGCACGCTCCACTGACCGAGTCAGCCAGGCACCCCTGAATGGTCATTTTATGGCCCTGCACTACCACACAAAGTGAGGACTGCCTGTATATTTTACTTGCTGAGAGTGGAGTAGTAAAATGAGTAAACATCTCAGAACTGTCAATGACCCGCTCCGTACTTAGATACGTGACTTTGGGCAAGTTTTTAAAAATCTTTTTTTCTTTTTTAAAGATTTTATTTTTTAAAATATTTTATTGTTATGTTAATCACCATACATTACATCATTAGTTTTTATTTATTTGACAGAGACATAGAGAGCACAGATAGGCAGAGCGGCAGGCAGAGGGAGAGGGAGAAGCAGGCTCTCTGCGGACCAGGGAGCCCAATGTGGGGCTCGATCCCAGGACCCTGGGATCATGACCTGAGCCGTAGGCAGACGCTTAATGACTGAGCCACCCAGGTGCCCCAAGTTTTTAAAAATCTTATTAAACTCCATTGTTCTCATCTGTTAAAGGGTCACATAATCTACACACTTGAAGATTAAAGGAGATAATATGGACAAAAAGAGCCAACAAGGGGTGCCTGGGTGGCTCAGTCGGTTAAGTGGTTAAGCTTCTGCCTTCGGCTCAGGTCATGATCCCAGGGTCCTGGGGTGGAGCCCCGTGTCAGGCTCCCTGCTCAGTGGGGAGTCTGCTTCTCCTTCTGCCCCTCCACCTGCTTGTGCTCTGTTTCTCTGTCTCTCTCTCTCAAATAAAAAAAAAAATTTTTTTTAAAAAGAGCCAACAACAGTGCTGTTTCCATAAGGGGCTCAATAAAAGTCAGCAATCATCTGGGGCGCCTGGGTAGCTCAGTCGTTAAGCGTCTGCCTTCAGCTCAGGTAATGATCCCAGGGTCCTGGGATCGAGCCCCGCATCTGGCTCCCTGCTTCTCCCTCTCCCACTCCCCTGCTTGTGTTCCCTCTCTTGCTGTGTCTCTCTCTGTCAAATAAATAAATAAATCTTAAAAAAAAAAAGTCAGCAATCATCAAGTTTCTCTCTCCCAATATGTCTATCTGGGACTTCTTCCTATGACACCAATCCTTGGCATAGTCACACTCTGCAAGTATGTGACCCATGTCCTTAGCAAAGATAGTTGGCATCCCCAAGTGCTACTTATTTCCTGGTTCAATCCCCTCATTTTCCAGATTAAGACTCTAAAGGAAATAAAGCACAGTTGGGAGTCTCTAAGGCACTGCATTAATTTCATGTGTCACAATGAAGCAACTGAGTGAATAGTTAAGGCCATATATTATTATTATTATGAGCCAGAATTTTGGGATCCCTTGAGTCTTTAGAACTTGTAAAATGGTGGTAATAATAGTACCTACCTCTTAGGGTTGTTATGAGAAGAAAAGGAATTGGTACTACTGAGTATTTGCTATTATTATTAATCAGGTATCTAGTTTAAGTTTCCTGACTTAGTACTGCTGTCCAGCCTGTTATGCAAACCAGGAACCTAGGAGCCATGCTGGACACCTCTCCTTAGCTGGCCCCCGTCTGTCACCAAGGCCCACTGCTTTTACTCTCTACTTATCTCTCGTGTCTTCAGCCTCACAGCCCTCCGCCAAGACACCACCATTTCTCCTGAGATACAGC